AAAAAAAAAAAAAAAAAAAAAAAAAAAAAAAAATTGCCAAAGTCTTAGGGAAACAAGACTCATGTTTTATTTCCACAGAGAAACTCTAAAGTAGGACGTGCCTCCTGAATTTCTGTCACGGTAACTTCAGGTCACAAAACGGAGCAGGTAAAGAAAGGGCTGGTGTATCCACTGAGGCTGACGGTCAAGGAGACACCACAGTGGGTGGGAGGAAACAAGGGACAGACAGATAGGTACCCAACCTAGAAAAAGCAGGTGTTAGCACCCATACCAAGAGCTGGGGGAGGGGCACAGTCAGGTCCCTCGATGACTGATGGTTTTCAGGGCTTCAGTCGCAGTTGGAAGTGATTTTCTAGACGACAAGAAAAGAGAAAATGGTAGAACACGGCCACTCCTAGAGCTGCTGAAACCAGGCATCCTCTCACCCAGCTTCTGCGCCCACAGTTCCCTCGTGTCCTGCCTATGTCACCTGCGGTCTCCTCACTTTCACTCCTCCCTAAAACAAATATTACCTCTTCCCCACCGGTGACTCACATCTTTCTGCCTCTGAGCCTTTAAACCCGAAAGGCTCACCTCACTACAGTCCCCCCCCGCGCCCCCCTACAATGCCTATCCTGTTCCCGCTGCTTAACCGAGCCTGCCTTGCTGTTCTCTGGCCCTGCCTGGCCCTGCCTCTGTCAGGCCACCACCCAGCACTCACAGGGTGTTCCGAGTGTTCTAGGTCATCTTCTCATGAGTCTTTCTCCACACCCCACGCTGGGGTCTCCTCCTTAATACCTTTAGTGTGTCCACCCAGAGCAAAGGGAGTGCCAAGCCCCCAGCCCTCCCTCCCCCTGCCCACCCCCGGGGCGGCGTGCCTCAGCTCCTGGCTGCAGCCTTGCACAGCTCACTGACACTCACCTACCAAAACTTCACCCACTGCAGCAGGTCAGGTCGCGCCCGGGAAGCCTGCAGGACGAGGAGAATGTCTGAGTGGACAGAGCACCGTCCCCGGCACACCCTCTGGCCTCAGACCCCTTCTCTCGCCAGCCGGATTTTCTCTGCCCCAGTACTTACCGAGGAAGAAATCGTGACTCCCCCCTGTAAAGAGAAGACCAGAGGAGGTGAGGTGAGGACCTCAGTGCCCTCCCTGTACTCGACCACGTCCTTAGGGCTCAGGAAGGGCCCATGGCGGGGACAGGCTCAGATCAGGATCACCCCAAAGGTCCTTTGGTCTGATTGTGGCCCTTCAGCCATGGCAGATTTCTCACCCTGAGTGCATTTTACCCAAGATGATATTGAATATGGTCCCTGAGCACACACTGACCAAGGGGAGTGAAAAGAGGAAAGGTAGGTCTCCCTCTGCCTGCTAGGGGGATAAAACTTGGCCACGAGCAATGGGCAGAAGTGGATACCCACAGGTAGTGTTAACCATATCTTCACCTCCTTTCAGTCAGCAGCTAGTTTCTGATCTCTCAGTAGAAGTCCTCTCCCCAAGGACAGGGGTCTTATTACTCTGAGAGATGGAGGGAAATACTGCCTGTTTGCTTGTTTGTTTTTAACCAGCCTAATTAGTATGTAGCACATTCATTTACTGAATTTATCAGATTGTTTTCTTTGCACCCGAATAAAACAAACTCGTCAAATTGTTTTTCCTGTTATCTCCTTTGTGAAAGGAAGCATTTATTTTCCCACCAACCAAGAGTTTCTGGGCTGGCCTCCTCTCCCCAAGAAAGGTCAGCAGTTAAAGAGGTGGAGTTTGTCTGTTTTGTTCTGTCTGTCGGTTTTGCCGTGTGTCGTGTGATTTTTCTTTTTCTTTTTCTTTTTTGAGCCTTATATTCCTCACTGAGAGGATCTTGGGTCCCAGTTTTCTCCATGGCAGGTGATGCACCCACGGCTCCCCTAGAACCTTTTCTGAGTGAGTGGGTGTGAACCTTCTACCCTTCTCTTCCAAACTGCTCTCAGGGAGCTGGAGTCACCCTGCACAGGGGTGGGGAGACATGACTATCAAAGTGAACAGGATTCGGCCTCAGCTAGCCTACCCAGAGGACCTTGGCAGTGAAGGCCTCCCCCTTCACCCCCAGGCAGACCCCATGCAGTGGGAGTCCGGAAGGTTGCAAGCCTTACCTTAGTGGGGATCTTGGCTGAGTCCTGCCCCCCATTGGCAGTAGGGTATGTCTGCTGGTTATAATCGTAGTTCTGCGGAAGGAAGCAGGGCGCGGGAGAGAAGGGATGAAGGCATTTTGCTCCCACATCCCGGCCCTGGCTGGACCTTTCTCAAAGCCCCTGCCTCCTCCCCTCCTTGTGTCATGTGTTTTAGGGAGGTGAGGCGAGGAGACCAAGGAAAGAAGTGAAGTCTGAATCAGGTGGTCGGGTGGCAGTTACCTTAGAAGTTACAGCTGCCGCGTCTTGGCATCCTGTGCCAGGCTGAGAAAATTACAGAACGGGGCATGAGGAGAGAGAACTGCAGATTGATCAGACCCGGGAGCAAGGCTGAGAGGAACCAGGGACCTTCTAGGGCCTCCCGGGGAGGGGCTCACCTGACCAGCACCGCCTACCCTCCTCTGTTCCGATGACGCACGGATGCAAAGGGAGAGGGCGCCAGGGTGAGGGTGGCTCCGTGGTGCTTCAGGCCTTGCCAGACTCTCGGGCTCCAGCATCCCACCACCCAGGCTCTGCCCTCCCTTTAGAGCCCCAGCATCCCGCCCGGCCCACCCCACCCCTCTCAGTGGTCTGTGATAAGTGCGCCTACAGAGAAGGCCTGGAGGAAACTGATGGCCCAGATAGACACAGGACAGATTTCTACACTCAGCATTGGGCAACCAGGGTAGAGAACAGGTTGGCAACACCTCCGCCACCCAGGCACCTGGAGCCGGAGCTAGAATAACAAATGAGCGGTACCCGCACAAGCTCCCGGGGCAGAGCTGGGCAGCTCAGCCCCAGCCCACCTTCTGCCTGCAGCAAACCCTGCTCCCCTCATAGGCCTTTTAATCCCTGTTCCCAAATGCTGTTCTCTATACGGTCCTTGGAAGGATGGTCTGTTATTCATAGAGGCGAAGTGAAGCTCTGGGTCAAAGGAGAGAAAGGAAGGGGAGAAATACAAGAAAGCAGATGGAACCCCCTTAAGAACCACTGCAGATGCGCTGGCCACCTGCCCTGCCCCCGATCGAGGCAAGGGGAAAATCTCCTCAGTAGGAGGGAGGGTTAGTTCCTGCCATTGTCACTTCTCTACTAGAAACACACACACACACATACACACACTCACACACACTCACTCACACACTCTCTCTCTCTCCTCTCTCTCTCTCTCTCAGGGTCAGAATGTTCTTCCCAAGTCTGGCTTAACTGTCTGCCTTATCCATACCTGAACTCTAACCCCACTATTAGGCCTTACACCATGAGCACAAACTGGTAGACCGCAGGCTTCCAGACATTTTTTTGCTTGGTCCACACGTTTAAATTAAATTAGTTGAAAACCAGATTTCTAGCTTTTCTTGAAAAATCAGACAATGTGGCCCCATCTGTCCAGCCTCACGTGCCCACATGGACAAGTGAGTGGGCAGCCCTTGCCTCAGTGCCCAAGCGTCCTGATTCCCGAAGGCCACTGGCCACGCGGAACAGACGTGTGGCCTTTGACGGGACCCAGAGGCCCTGCCCATCCTTCCCAGAACCCAGATAATCAGACCCCCTGCACCTGCCCGCACTCGACCATGACCCTCCGTCCTCCCCCCATGCACAGTGCCCTCACGCCGCCCTTCAACTTTCCTCCCTAGTGACCCCTTTCCAGCCCTGAGAGCTGGCCCCAGTCCCAGGTCCCTCCGTCTCCCCCACCCCATGGTCCCCTCCACCTGCTCACCCTGCGGTACCCACGCAGATGCGGCTTCCCCCAAGCTAGGCCACGCCCAGCCGGAACAGCATCAGGCGGAGATCTTGTGCCTGTGGAGGCCCTAACCCCGGACCTCGGCTTTTATCCCCGGGAGGACCTCCCACTCTGTTCCTTCTTCAGTGACTCACAGCCCCCCTCTCCCATCCCACCTCCGCTGGTGAGGCTCTGCGCAAAGGGAGGACAGTGGGAAGGGAGGGAGGCACCCCCCCCCACCCCGAGCAGGGACGGGGAGGAACCGGAACAGAACCTGCAAGCCACTGCCCAGGGCCCAGAACCCCGCACCCTCAGAGCTGAGCTTCCCGACCCTGAAATGAGGGGTCCCACTGCCCTTACCTCAGCAATTGCTTTCCAGTTCAAGAAAGGAGTGTTGTGTTTGAACTTCTGGAGAGAGAAGGCGAGGCGAGTGGGCCACGAGGAAAGAGAATTCCAAGGGTGGAGGGGGGCCGCTGGTTGGGCAAGTTTGGCGCTGGGTGTAGTTTGGGGTTAGATAAAGATAAGCCTACAGGAGACTGAGGGAGTCAGCATTTCTGATGGCATTGGTGATAAGACTTGGGTGAGATTACCTATCTCAAAAGTGAGAAGAGGGGGAATTTTGTGACAGGTAGGCTGGAGGGAGGGGTAGCTGCCTGGAGGGAGGGAGGGGACAGGGACAGGATGAACAGGATCCTCAGTTCTTCAAAGACGGAGAATTCTCCTACCTCCCAGAGTTGACGGAAGTACAGGAGGATGCGAGTGCTGAGGTTTGGGACTTGGTTCTGGGGATGAAAGTGGGGAACAGGTGAGCAGGGAGTCTGACCCCTGCTCACCTAAGCCCCTCTGCTCCTGCGACCACCATTCCTCAGCCTACATACAGGATTCACTGTGACTAAGGTCCAGGGGGGAGCTGGGTGTCTTTAGGGACACCAGAAAACTGTTTCTGGAAACAAGGAGAGAGAAGCTAGGTCTCTGGAGCCACTAACCACCCCTCCGCCACATACACAGCACACGACACCGTTCTTCTCTAGCCCTGTTTCCCCCCGCCCCCCACCGGCCTCAGGCAGAACACAGCTGCGGCAAAACCGCAGGACCAGAACCTGCCCCTGACATTCCCACCTTTTCACCTGTCACGCCACCTCCAGCCCATCTCCCAAAGCTGTAGGGCTGAAGTCTCCCCTTCCTAACCCCTCCTGGAACAACAGTGGAGATGTAAGAAAGGAGAAGATACCAGGAGCGTGGGACAGCTGATATTATTTCAAGGACAAGGGTTGAGATCAGTGGGGAGATAGTGGTGTTTTAAGAATGGGCGGGGGGGCTTCCCTGGTCAGGGGGACTTCCCTGGTGGTGCAGTGGTTAAGAATCCGCCTGCCAATGCAGGGGACATGGGTTCGAGCCCTGGTCCGGGAAGATCCCACATGCTGCGGAGCAACTAAGCCTGTGCGCCACAACTACTGAGCCTGTGCTCTAGAGCCCATGAGCCACAACTACTGAGCCCGCGTGCCACAACTACTGAAGCCCGCGCACCTAGAGCCCGTGCTCTGCCAGAAGAGAAGCTACCGCAATGAGAAGCCTGCGCACCGCAACGAAGAGTAGCCCCCGCTCTCCGCAACTAGAGAAAAGCCCGCGCGCAGCAACGAAAACTCAACGCAGCCAAAAATAAAAATAAAAAGTAAATTAAAACTTTTTTAAAAAGAGAATGGGTGGGGCCCCCATCCATCTGGAGGTCAGGGGGTGCGAAAAGTCCTCTGGTCCTGGGCAAAGAAATAAGTTCTAAGGGGGAGGTCAATGACTAGGAATTCAGGGACCAGTGGACCAAGCCAAGGGTTGATTGGACCCCTGCTCCGGAAATCCGCAGGGACCTTTTGGCCCACGGCTGTCATCGGGGCAAATCCAGAGAGTCCAGCTTGGGCTCGAAACCCACCCCACCCCCATACTTGCCAGGAACGTTTGGTCCCCCGTCCTTACTCCTCACCCTGGCTGAAGTGAAGTCCTCGGCTGCCTCGCCGCCCCTCCCTCCGCCGTGAAGGAGCTGGGGACGCTCCATCCTCTCCTTTGCCCACCTCTGTCCTGCCCCCTCCCTAGGAGGTCCGATCCTCGGGGGAGCCACCCCAAATGAATGCCGCCTGACTGCAAGCACTCCCCTTACTGCCCCCCTGGATGTGCAAAAACGTTTGGCTGTCAGTCCTCTGGCCCTCTGGGACGTATCTGTGTGTGCCCTGGTTCTCCCATCAGACCCTAAGTGCCCCCTGCTCAGGGGCCTGGTCTCCCCGTGGTCCATGGTAGGGAGTCTCACCCCTACCAGAGACAGTTCTCTACGAAACAGAACAAAATGTTCATCCAAAACAGGACTCCGCTGTAGCTGGAAGCTTCTGCATCTCCTGTCTTTCACTCCCCACTTTACTGCCAGAAAGTGACGTTCCTGAGGGCTGTCCCTTTGCCTCCCCGCCTGCCACCAACCCCCTCCCTCACAAGTTCTGGAGGGCAGGGGTCCTAGTCTGCCTTCTTTTACGTGAAGGGTCAGAAACTACACTGCTCACAGGAGCCAGGCGGGTGGCTAGAAGAACTGTGGTGGGCGGTGGGAGTCTGACCACGGGGGAGCAAGTGCCCACGGCAAGAAGGAGCTGCCTCTCGGCTCTAGGCTCTCGTAGGCCGTAGAAAGAGGGGCCCGGTGTTGCTATACTGTTCTTTAAAAATGAATCAAACAATCAGTGGGCCGCGGATTGCAGCTTCTGCCTTTGGTATCTGGATTGTTCGTTTGTCCTTCACCTCCCCTCTCAGTCCACACCCTCTGCTCTGGAGGTACATCTGCTATTCTGGTGTCAAATCAGCCTGGCCAGGGCTTCCGCTGCGAGAGGAAGGGGTGGGCGGGGACGAAGGAGAAGCAGGTTCTGGGCCCCAAGCGACTCCTAACATTACACATGTGCAGGGCCCGGACTGATGGCACCACCAGGCTCTCGGCGTGTTCGCTTCCTTTTCCCATCTCTCTGCGCATAAGTCCTCAGGTGGTCTTTTAGCTTCACCTGATGATTTGGTCCATCCCCTACCTCTGCCTCTGGTTCCTGAGGATTAGGCCTACTGACTCTCCCCTTAACCTTCTGGTGTCAAAGGGGAAACTGAGGTTCAGACCAGTTCAGGTCTGCATGTTGAGACATGAAAGAGGCCCATTCCCTCCTCGTCCCCCCCACTCCCAGCTGCTTGCAAATTCCCCATCTCTTTTCAGGTCTCTGCTGTCCTTCCTCCTTGTTTTCATCTTTTCTTTTTAAAGCACTGGCTGGAATGCTGTCTCCGTGACCATCATCATTGCTCCCCGGCTCACCAAGCAAGGGTTTAGCTTTCTTCTCTATATCCCTTCTCCCACAAAGATCAGAATGAACGGCCTTCCAGCCCTTACCTTGTTGATGGCGTCCCAGTTCATGAAACCCAGCTTGGATTTTAAATTCTGCAGAGAAAAAGAAGGAGAATGACCAGATTGGGTCATAATGTAATTGGCTCAGGGCCCCAGGACAAGAGAGGTCAAGGGCCACTGCTGACAGTCATTATAGAAAGAAGACTTCAGCCTGTGGGACCAAGGGACAGAGGTTTGAGAGCGAGCAGAGCACTCTTGTCGAACTCACCTTCCAGAAAGTATCAAAGCTGAAGAGCCCAGGAGACATCTGAGAGTTCTAAGGGACCGATGAGAAATGGGATGAGAGTAAGAACCCATGCTGTGAGCACAAGGCAGGGGCAGGAGATATGGGTGTCGGGGGGAGGCAGGGGTTGCCTGACACCACGGTCCCAGCCCAAGGAGGAGTGACGTCCTCACTCACCAAGGTGTTGGTTCTATTGACAGCTTCCCCTCCCCCGCTAGACCCTTGCCCCTGCGTGGGGAAGAGGGAACTGATGCTCAAGGCTTTACATCCTGTCGTGCGCGCCACCCATCTCCGCCTCTGGTCAAGCCACCTTCTCCTCTTCTCAACACAGTACCTGAGTCCCACCTCCAGAAAGCCTTCCTGGACTGACTCGCTACTTGCTCAGCAGAATAACCCCACCCAGTCCCTTGAATCATATCCATATTCCTGCTCCCCCCCCATGCCCTGCCCCCCCAAACACTGCTAGTAGCCAATATGTAGTCCCACTGTGCGCAGGGCACTGCGCCTCCACCCGCCACTTTCCCACGTGGAGATGCCTCCACTTCACAGATGGAGAAACTGAAACGTAGAGCTGTCCAACAGCTTTTCTCAGCATCTGTCTCCGTGTCAGGCTCCAGTGTTGGGACTCTGAACCACCTTGATGTGACTACGATGCAGAAAGCTCTGCAGTAACTGAGGGGGGGGGGGTGAACAAGTTAGGCTTTGCTGTCCCCATTTTACCCAAGAGGGAGCCTGGGCTCAGAGAGGTCAATCGACTTGCCTGATGACACACAGATGACAGGTTACACAGCTGGCGTTTGAACCCCCATCTTCTGAATCAAAGTTCACTGCCTTTCCACTTGTCAACCCTGCCTTCTTAAATATGGTTTAAAAAAATATCCCCTTGACTATTCTGTCATTTTTGTCTGTTTTTCCACCTCACTATGTATTGAAGACTTTGGTAGTATAAAACTAGAAACAGAATTACAAACTGGGAGAGGCTTTCTTAAAACCTGTCTACCCATGAAAGGTTAGTATCCCTGATATGCCAGGAGCTCTCCCGACAGCCTTCCAGGGTGGCACCACCACCCCACGCCTCCTCCTCCCCGTTAGGCGTGCTCCTCACCCTGTGGGCCCCACTCACCCCCGGGGCACAGGCTGGCAGCCTGGCCAGGATGCCTGTTAGAAACCAGAATCTCAGCCCCACCACAGCCCTGCTGAATCAGAATCTGCATTTTCACAAGACCTCTAGGCGATTCCTGTGAGCCTTAGCCAACATTTCCTCTGTCAGCACAGCAGTTGCTGACCTAGAGGCAGATTTCCAGAATAACTAGGAGGGAAGTGTACCCTCTCGAAACACTGTTTCCAAAGTCCTTCAAAGAAGTCACCGGATACTGTTTACCCGCAGGGTATAGGACATTTGAAACAATCATGTTTCCAAAAGGACTGGTTTTCATACGATTTTTCACAGCCCCATCTGTGGTATAAAGTGAGGTATATCATGTAATGATCTGCAATTAATTATTACTTCGGAGCTGATTAGTCTTTTTAGGAGCATGTGTTTGGTTTCTTCCCTCTAGATTGTAAATTCCCCAGAGAGGGGGTTGGGACCAGAGCTAGCCTTAGGGGCGGGGGCGGAGCGCAGTTGCCTTGAGGAGGGCGCACAGCTGCCGTGATGAACTGCCGTCACTGCAAGTTCGCCTCTCACCTGACCCCCAGATTCCCCGGACACGTGGACTTCACTGCGTGGATTGTCGCACGGTGGGAGAGAGAAAGAGAAACTCTCATTTCCCACGAAGACACCTAGTCCAGCCCCCAGACTGCAGCATTTTAACCCCGTGGCTGGCCGACCCGGCGGCAGTCAGCGCATTCCCCGCCCATCCCTCAACGCCTCTTGTTTTCCTTCCCACGGTTCGGGGCAGATCTGCACAGGCACGCCCTCGCCAGACGCTCACCTCGGGTTTGTTCCCACCACTTCCACCCCTGCTACCCGAGGAGGAGCTGGTATTGTATCCCAGCAAGGGAAAGCGAGAGTCCATGTGGGGTCTCCAAAGGGCTTGGAAGGGCCCAAATCGTTCCCAAAATAGGAAGTCATCCCATAATAGGCACTATGATATCTTAACGCCCTGCCCAAGCTCCACACTCTCCCATCTTCAGCCCGTCAGTCACGGAGGGAAGTTATTCGGGGCACGGAGAAGGGTAGGTGTGGCCACGTGTATTTGGAAATGTGGGGTAATTGGGGGATTCTGAGCTGCTGCCGTCCAACCTCCACTTCATGCCAGGGGTGGAAAAGCCACTGGAGACCAACTTCATAAGAGCCGTGACCCTGGCACCCTGGGGCTCCTTCGGTCCTCCTCCTGCCTCTCCTCACCCGTCACCCTCTCCTGGAACCTAGAAAGGGGAAGGGACCCCTAGAATCCTTACCTGGGAGTAGCCGCCTTGATCAAAATTTCTAGAGTTTTCGAAGGGTCAGTTGTAGGTACAGGGGGAAAAGCAGGTAGTACAGGGAGCAGTAAATTAACACTTGGCTTGTTCTTGCCTGAGACCCTCCTCTTGCCTGAGGCCTTTCCCAGACCCCCAAGGAAGCCGGCTGTGCCCCCTCTCTGCAGGACCCCTGATGGGAGTTCCACCCCAATCCGGCTGCCAGGTAGTGGTCCCCCCCTGGCCCTCTCACCCCTCACGAAGGGACACTGTATTTGTTAGCATCTACACCTCAGCTCTGTAAATGTCCTTAAGTTTCCACGTGCGGTCCTGCCCCCATCCTCCTGGGAGCCTCCCAAACAAGTGTCATGTTTCCCTGTGCCCACCTCTCTTGCTCCATCCACTACCCCAGCTCTAGTCCGATTCGCCAAGTGGACATGCCGGCAGAACTAGAGGTCAGACAGGAGACAGGGCATCCCCGGCATCAGGGAGTGGATGACGAGGGGCTAGAGTGAGCACGGTAGGCAGGGCACCTCTTCTGGAAATTAGAGGGCACATGTAAGCAACACTTCCTGGTGAGGCTGGGAAGGTGGGGAACAGAAGCTGAGGGAGCCCAGGATGACAACTCCAGTGACGCCACCTACCCTGGGGCTGGCAGCTTTCAGGAAGACCTCGGAGTGGGTTTCCTCAGCAGGGACCACCAGGGGCCCCACCTCTGCCTTCAACAAAGGAGAACTTACCCAGTGGGGCCCAGAACTGCCACCGCTGCTGCCACCACTGCTGCTGCCGCTGCTGCCACCACTGATGCTGCCACCGCTGTTCCTGCCATTGCTGCTGCTTCCCTGAGGGTCAGGAAGAGACCAGAGTGAGGTCTAAAGATGAGGACACCAAGATTGCTTTCCTCCCTCCCCGGCCTCCCTTGCTCAGGAATATTTCCCGCCCAGTCTGAGGAGAGCAGAATTTCTGCAGAATGCCCCAGTTTGTCCTGTCCTCTTACCCCAGAGTTGCTAGAGCTTCCACCTGAGCCAGATGGCGGGCGGTTGGTGCATTGCAGAGGGAAGGGGACGGGTGAGGTTTGAGACTTCAGTCAAAGCCAGCCCCACAGGCCAGGCTCTCCTGCTTCCTTGGCTTGGCTTTCTATCCCATCGCGTCTCTCTTCCATGCCCATCTCACTCTTCCAAGCCTCCTCCCCACACCTATCTCTCCCCTGTCCAATCTGCCTCTTCCCTCAGGCCCTCCCCTGCCCATCTTTCTTTCCTCTTCGTCTCTCCCACTTTCTATCACACGCATCCAGACAGACTCTTCCTCTCACCTCTGCATTTGGGTTGTCGCTGCCTCTCCTTGAGCCGTAAGGAGGTTGGTCCACAGCTGCCTGCAGGGAGGGTGAGACTGAGCATGGGATCGGGAAGGACACGGGGGAAACGCCAAAAGTGTGGGCTTGAAGGGAGGGAGGCGGCAGGCATCAGGGCCAGGGTGATGTCCTGATGTCCTGATGTACCTGAGTGTTGGTCCCTAGGTTGAATGCCCCTCCATAGCCTTCGAGCCTCCCTGAGAGTTGGTCCCAAAGCTGCCACCTGAGCCTCCAGAATACACATGGTCTCAGGGAATCCCTGGACCTCCAGGATTGCCTGGAGAGCCAGAGGTGCCATGGCCTCCAGATGGAGGCTGGCCATTGGTTCCCTGCAAGAACAACATGGCTGCACTGAGTGTGTGTGGCCACCTCACTCTGGGATGGGGTAGGACAGGCAGAGCAAATCAGATAGAGGAGCCACAGGGAGAAGCAGGTGGAGAGAGACCTCAGGGTGGTGGGGGAGGGATGCCTAACATAGAAGGAAACTGGCCCAGACAGCCACCAATAAGGGAGCCATTCCTCCTATTAACCGCTCCCAGGACTCTCAACCCAGCTGCCCACAGCCTCCCATTTCCACACCTGGCTTCCAGCCACTCACCAAAGCACCGTTGACACCAGGCATCCCCTGCCAGGAGCTGTGGGCAGCATCCACTCCATGCTGAATGACATTCTCAGCCTGTCTGCCAGCCTCACTCCCAGTGTTTCCAAGAGCAAGGGCCGCTTCCTCAGCTCCACGGGCGAGAGTGTCCCCCACGCCGGGGCCCATGGCCTCCTTGACTCCAGAACCCGCTGCCTCTCCAGCCCCTCCATCAGCGGCCTCCCCAACTCCGTGCTTGATGGCCTCTCCCGCTTCTTGTCCAATGGCCTCTCCCACCCCGTGTCCAGTGGCCTCCATGGCCCCTGCTCCAGAGCTCTCCCCTCCACTCAGCAGTAGGCCAGCCTCCCCACTGCCCAGGCACAGGAGCAGCAGGAGGCAGGCCAGACGCCCCTGTAGCTTCATCTCCGCCTCGTCCTTCTCGCCTGAGTGTTTTCTTCCCACCCAAGTTTACTCGCTTGCCCTTTCTCTTTCCCCGCCCTTAAAGTGTTCCCATTTCCCAACCCCAGGAGTCTGGGGTGCAGGGTAGGGGGGCGCATCTGAGGAGATAGGCTGGCAGTGTCTCCTAGAGGTGGTGGGATGGGGGGGACTTAGGAGAGAGGAACCAGGCAGGACCTCATCAGGGGGGCAAGGGTAGGGAAGCCAGCGGGATAGGACCCACCCTAGGTGTAAGCCAGCCAGGGTCGGGGATGCCAGAATGGCAGGACGCCACCTGCCGCTGCAGGTGCCCTTCCTCAGCCTTCGTCTCCTTTCCCATCGGCCTTTGTCTCTCCCACCTCTCTCCCCTCCCATACTGCCACCTAAAGGTGGCTGCCTCACACTTCCACACCTTCCAGCCGCAGAGAGCCTGGGACCCGGGAGACGGCCCTCAGTGGGAACGCCAGGCATCTGTCGGGGAAGGACGTGGCTGCGACGCTGAGAGGGGTCATCGGGGCGTCTCAGTTAGCATCCCGGCTGCTCTGGGCTGAGAAAGCTGGGTGTGGAGCTGGGGAGCTGGGCAGGCGGGCCACCCCCGGGGAATGAGGGGGCGGGGGAAGACCTAGGGAGGGAGCTGCTGACCCAGGCACCCATCCTGTTTACCTGGCCTGGTGGGGGCACGTGTGTGAGCTCACGGCCTGCCGTGAGGGCTGGGACTACACCAGCGCATCCCACTGCTGCTCCCAGCCCCTCCCAGAGGGGCCAGAGTGGCACTGGCAAGGGAGGAGGGGTCAGCACAGGGGCAGGAGCCCCGGGTCAGCCAGTGGCCCTCTCCCCTGGGCCCAGCTCAGGATGCAGAACTCGGGCAGCCTCACGAGGTCTCGTCGCTGCTCAGCGAGCGAGCCTGCTTCTCCACTCCCGGGAACCCCAGGTCCTCCCACTTGGCACTGCCTTGTGTCGCTGGGACTCATCGCCGAGTTAGGAGGGGCCGGTTTCTATCCGCCTTTCTCAGCGTCTCTCCGTCACTCTCTCTCTCCACCCCAACACCTTCACCCCAACTTGTAACATCCATCACCTCTCACGATGTAAACACAATCCCTGTCTGTCCTCCGCTGCTCCTTCCTAGCTCCTTGTTATTCCATCGCTGACTCTTTAATGACGATAATAGTGGTGGGGGTAATAACAATAAAAATCATCATCATCGTTGTAGCTGCCGTTTATCCAGGGCTTTCTGTGTACCCAGCACTGGACTAAGCACTTTAAGGCTCAGACAGCCCTGGGAGAATCGTTCTTATTCTCAGCCTGTCTGCCAGCCTCACTCCCAGTGTTTCCAAGAGCCTGGCCCGCTTCCTCAGCCCCACGGGCGAGAGCGTCCCCCACGCCCGGGGCCCATGGCCTCCCTGACTCCAGAGCCTGTTGCCTCTCCGTGGGATGACTCGGCGATGAGTCCCAGTGACCCAAGGCAGTGCCAAGTGGGAGGACCTGGGGTTCCTGGGAGTGGAGAAGCAGGCACCACATTTAGGGGCAGAGAACTTGGGGCTCGGAGGGGACATGGTGAGTAGGCGGTAGAGGTAAAGCTAAGCCCAACCTGTTCATTCCTGAGCCTGGCTTCCAGCATATTCTGTCATCTCCGTGTCTCAGACCTTCCCCTGCTTTTCGAAGCCCTCATTCTTCTCTGGATAGAATTAGTTTGGATTTTGCTCTGGGGCCATGTAAGGGGCAGAGAGCAGGAGGAAACCTGAGGCCTCCGGGGTTGGCGATGGACATCCCAGCCCCCTGAGCCTGCTGCTTCCCATTCCCACAGGGCAGGACCGCAGGGCAGGAGGTGGTGTGCATGCTCACTGACTCCAAGACTCCTTCCCACACTTCCTTCACGGGACACCCTTACCATGGTGTGGAGCTGCCCTCTCCCTTCTCTGTTACTAAGATTTTTCTTTAAGCCAGCTTACTTTCTTAAGTATATTTTAAGAGAATACTTTATATCGCCACTCTTAAGTGGAAAGCCAGGCTCACTGGCCCATAAATAGAAAGAACCAGAAAAACAAAGTGAGAAGCAAACAATAGTATTACATTATAGCTGGCGGCAGCTCCTGTACCCTCTTTGTTAAAAAGGGAGATTAGCAAGTATGAGAGAGGTGTTCCAGGCACACCAGCACAGAAATGGAGTCTTCCTCTTTACCTAATCAGAAAGCTTCAAAGAGAATTAAGAAAAGAGTAAATTTCTCACTGTGTGATTCAGACTTATTCAAAGCCATATTCACGAACCACCTAAATTCTCCCATGCCACCAGCAGTCCCATGTTCTACCTTCTGGGAAAAACTACCCTCAGACATCCCTGGACCTGAGGGGTCACCTCAAATCAGTCTTAAGGCATATTTATTAAATACCTGTTGTGAACCAGACAGAAGTCTAGGTGCTTTCACATGCATGATCTCACGTAGTCCTCACTATAACCTCGAGAGATAAATATTATTCCCATGTTACAGATAAGGTAACTGAGGCCTAGAGCTGTTAAACAAACATACAAAATCATATACAAGATCATGGTAAAATGGAGCTGTCAGGGCTTCCCTGGTGGCACAGTGGTTAAGAATCCGCCTGCCATTGCAGGGGACATGGGTTTGAGCCCTGGTCCGGGAAGATCCCACATGCCGTGGAGCAACTAAGCCCGTGCGCCACAACTACTGAGCCCACGTGCCACAACTACTGAAGCCCACGCGCCTGGAGCCCATGCTCCGCAACAAGAGAAGCCACCGCAATGAGAAGCCCGCGCACCGCAGCGAAGAGTAGCCCCCGCTCGCCGCAACTAGAGAAAGCCCGCGTGCAGCAACAAAGACCCAACGCAGCCAAAAATAAATTAATAAATAAATAAAAATGGTAAAAAAAAAAAAAAATGGGGCTGTCAGAATCTGACCCAGGTAAAGGGGTCAGATTGAACTTGGTAAAGGGGACTTATTTTGAAGTAGCCCCTCCCCCACCCCAGGGTCGCGGGGAAGCCTGCTGCCCCTCCAGCAGAGGTCCCCAACAGGTAGGTGGTAGCTCCTCTGGACGAGGAGCTGGTCATCAGTGCTTACTAGCTGGGTGGCCTCCCTCAACTCTCTCCCTTCTCTGAGCCTCAGCTTCACCATGTCTAAGGGGGTAATCGTGGGACCTACCTCGGGGGAGGTCGTGAGGGTGAATGAATCATGTCTGTAAGTGCTTAGCCCAGAGTGAACACCCAATAAAAGATGGTTGTGAGGGTCCCGCCCAGACTCCTCTCCCTGTTCTTGCACAACTGCAGAAACTGCCCTCCTCTCTCTCTCACGCCCTCGCCTGGCTCTCCCTGCCTGGCCCAGGTGCCAGGTCCTTGCTCACACTTATTCCAAGGCCTTTCCCAAGTCCGCTCAAGCCAATAGGCTCCCCTCTACTAGTTGCCAGACAAGTGTACCCGGCCTCGACCCCTCCTCTGGAACCTCTTAGTCTAGGGGGAGAATGGACATGAAACAGGTAAGTATATAATTACAGCTTGTCACAGCACTGTGAAGACCGGTATCAGCGTGCCATGAGAGAGTAACAGAGGCGTCCCTAGGTTCAGGTTGGGTGAGGTTCGGGGAGGTGGGGCACATAGAGGCATAGAGGCAGGGAGGACGCTCTTAGCAGAGGAAGCAGCCCACCAGGCCTGAAGGCAGGACTGAGCCGTGCCGCTTTCACCTTTAAGTTCTGGCTCAGCCCTTCTCTTCCAGAAGCCTCCCAGGATTGACCCCCCGGCACATACTGATTATCCTATATCTCTTTGGCACTTTCAGGACCCCCAACCAAGCAAGAAAATGGGCATACAAATAAAATCAATGAAAGCTTTTACTTTCTGAAAGAAGAATTCCCTTCTCGGAAGGGACTCCTCCAGTCCAGGTGAAAAGATGTCCAGCACAGAGTAGACCCTCAGGAAATGTGTGGTAGGAATGAACGCTTCTGTTTCTTGAAATGCATGAAACAAAGGTCGTCGATTTACTAGGAAATACATCAAAAATGTATCGGTACGTGGCTAGACGGCTAGGTGTGCGATGAGTGGAAGTGCGATAAAGCAAGCGTGGTCATGTGCTAGTGGTGGAATCTAAGTGGCGGGTATGCAGGTATCCACTGTAAAATTCTTTCATCTTTGCAGTAAAATATTGCCAGGGGAGAGAAGCAACATATGTGATTAAAATAGTGGTACTCTGGGTGGTATCCCTGGCGGTCCAGTGGTTAGGACTCAGCGCTTCCACTGCAGGGGGCACGGGTTCCATCCCTGGTCAGGGAACTAAGACCCCGCAAGCCACACAGCGCAGCCAAAAAGAAAAAAAATAAAGTAAAAAATAAAGTAAAAAATAAAACTTAAAAAAAAAATGGTGGTATTCTACAGATAAGGAAAAACAAGGAGAACATAAAGTGCCAGGAGCATCACCTTTACTGTGCACATCAGGCCCCTCCCCTCCCTGGTGTGTCATTTAGTCCTTATTGATGCATCGCTTTGTATTTGTTTTCATGTTCTGTTTATATACCTCGTCTCCCCACGAAGCCTGTAAATTCCCCAAAGGGCAAGAGCACTGTCTCTTATTTCTGGTCCCACGGTTGATGGAATTTTGGAGCTGGAAGCCATGTTTGCAGTCCTCTCCTGCGGACACCCACCCCCCTTTTATATGGGAGGAAATGGTGGTCCCTGGAGGGGAAGGATGCGGCCTACAGGCGCACGGGTTCTGACTGGAATGTAGGTCTCCCAGCGCTCAGGCCCGTGCTTGGCAAGTGTTCTAGAGACGTTATAGGCGACTGTGAAAGGTCAGGTTCTGGCAATAGACAGGCCTGCTGCTTTCTCCTGGGTTGCCCCCCGGCAAGGGCCCTGGCCCCTCTGAGCCTTAGTTTCCTCATCCATACAATGGGGATCATAAGGGAACTTCTGCCTTTGGGTTGTGGGAGGCTTAAATGGTTACAGAGTATGAACAGCCCTTCACACAGTACCTGGAAGCTACGAAGTGCTCAGTATGTAGTAGCTGCTATCATTACTGGTCCGGGCTTTGAGCCGGGCCTTCTGTGTCACTATTCCTGTCCTTGTAAAGAGGCCTCCTGTCATCAGTGGCTTCCCCCCTGAGCCTTTGGCCCTCGCCCCCAAGAGAGGATCTCCCACATGTACCTTTTTCCTCTCTCCTATTCACTGAGCCTCCTCCTTACTGATACTAAACAGGAGAGAGACCTCTTCGTTTTCAGAGTATCCTCGGTAGCTCTTAGGCTGTTTCTCCCTCCACTTATTGTGCGTCCTTAGTCATGTTTCTTAACTTGCGTGAGCCTCCATGTGATCTTCTATAACACGGGGCAATAGCAGTACCTCTTACCTAACTGGATGGTTGGGAGGATTCAGTGAGGTCATGCAGGTAAAGCGCAGGGAGCCTCGCATGCCTTGATTGCGCAATACACACAAATTACTACTGATATTCCTTTGGTGCCACACTCCTGAATGAGGATGCTACCCCCTTGGGCTTCACCAGGGTTCCTGCCACTTTTTCCCTGGTGCTTCTGCCCCCGCTACTGGCCTGGAGGGGCTTTCCCTGCACGAATTTCCTCCCAGTGCTGAGCATGAATTTTGCACTAGTGAAGCATGGCTCGTCCCTGTAACGGCCCTCTTCCATCGGATCAGCCTGAAATCTCCAGCTCAACCCATCCTGTGCATCGGACCCCCCAGCTTCTCCGGTGAAGATGCAAGAGGAGAAAAGACAAGCCTCCCCTCCACGGATCCCTCCTGAGGGAGCACAGTGAACCATGATGAGAGTACAGTGTGTTGTATTTATCCACAAATCTCAGTACAGCCCCCTAAGGGACTCCAGAAATCTATCCTACTTTCCCCCCGCTCCTTCAGGTCATTTCAGCTGATATGACAACAGGAATGTCAGTCTGTTCAACAAGGCCAGTTCATCAGTTTAGGGAATGATGTTGGTGAGGCTCTGGAAGAGAGAAGGAGAGAGGGGGTGGATGCAGGGCACACAGTCGCAAGACCTCTACCCTCATGCACCCTAGAGAGATGGGAGGGAGACTGACTACTCTAGCTCCGGAATTGCTTACGTTCTGGGGAATAACATACGGAAGGCGGCACCTAGATTCAGGAAGAATAGGGAGACAGTCCTCCCAGGCAGAGGTGCCAGGGGCCTCTGTAGGGACAGAGAAGCCTCGTGTGTTTTGCCTGAGAGGATCCCCTGCCACCTCCACAGCCCGGGAATAAACAACGGTGTGCCTTTGGGTTCCCGGCACAGTATTAGGGCTGTTACACACCCTCACCCTTTTGCCCCAGGCTCAGGCATCTGAATGTACTAAATGCAAAGAGAAGAGCTAGGACTTTCCTTTGGGCCCAGAGGGAGGATCAGCATCCCACAGGAACCTTTCTCCTGGGCTGGCCGGGCAGGTAGGTTGCTGTCAACCAGGGAGAGGACAGAGCTACAGGTTCCCACCACCCAGCACGTTGCCACAAGGCAGCAGGGACAGGGCAGCGGAAGGATGCACAGAACAGGGAGGGAGTCTGACGGGAGATGCCGCGGAGAGGGGACAGGCACACAGAGGGGAGGGTTTCAGCAGCCCCCACCCCCTTCCTGGCTCCGAGATGTACACAGGCCCCTGGAGGACTTTTCTGCCTCAGTGGGAACGGAAAGCGCCCGAAAGATGAAAGCAGGATGTGAGGAAAGGAAAACCAGAGCTGGAAAATGGGTTGGATGGTGTCTGCAGAGGCTGAGTGTCTGTCCACAGTGCAGTTGTCAGGGAACAGGCAACGGGAGGAGGATGTAAGAGCATCTCCCAAGTAGGAAGTAGAAACCACGTGGGCACTCACCTTCCACAGAACTGAGAGGCCAACGAAGGGCTTGTTGACCGAAGCCTGAAATTCAAGGACAGGAAGGTTAGTCCCCAGCATCTGTCCCACCAGCCCTCCTAGGAGAGCCTCCACGCCACCGCCCCCCACCCACCCTGTGCTCGCGAGACTTACTCCAGATGTTAAGGTTGTGGTTGCAGCCCCTCCGTTCTGGTGAGTGAATCTGCCTTGAGGACTGCCCTGTGGATGAAGCCCAGGCTGTCATTACAACCCCCCAGACCCTAAGGGTCTCCCAAGTTCCTTTTCCCCAGTGGCCAGCTTCCCCTAGGGCGACTGGGGCTGGAGCAGAAGGCATAGGCTAACCCCCTGCCCCTCGCTATCCAGAAAGGAAACCCATGTTGCTGTGGGAATTCTGTGAGAGATGGGAGAAGCCAGGAAGAACGTCTGCCCCTACTGGTTAGTCTTCCCTCAATTCCCTTTTCTTTCAGTTAATGAGATGTTCTCAGCCACTGAGAAGGGGCCCAACTGGAAAGGGAACCCAGAGAAGCCACGCAAATACCAGGACCATAGTTTAACCCCAGCCCTGACTTCAAAGCTCCCCCTTCTACACACACGCTAACCTGATCCCTAACTCGGGGATCCCTGTCCTTAATCCTCTCCCCACTCAGCAGTGTCTCCCCTGCTGCACTGCTGCTGCCAGCTTCAAATCCCCAAACAAACAGCCCTCTCTTGGTCTCTGTTTGGTGAATCCTGGCATCTGACTCAGAGCCCCTCCTTCACCCTGCACACTTGCTACATAGTTTCTTCCTCCCCACCCCACGCATCTCTGGTTCCATGGCTGGTAGCCCCTGTAGCTATGGGCTTTGAGGCCTGGGCCGGTCCTCAAGATGGTGTCCCAGAGAGTCCTCGTGGAGACTGGGGAGTGGGGACCTGGGGCAGGTGGGAGTCAGCCTTCTCCTGTTCCTCCTCGGAGCCTGTTATGCTGTGCGTGCTGCTGCTTGCCTCTCCTGGGCTCCGGTATCTATTCCCCCTATGTAAGTGGGGATCAGATATCCTTCAGAAGGCCTCCTCTGGTGGGGCGGTGTGGAGGAAGAGGAGGAACCCCGACTTGTGATTCGCCAGAGCTGTGTGCTAGCCACATGACCTTGGCAAATCCCTTAAACCTCGCTGAGCCTCCGTTTCCTTACCTGAGAATCAGGGAGTCCTCACCCTGACTACCTCGGAGGCTTGTTATGAACATTAAACAGAGTAGGGCTCTTCTCCCAAAACTATTCCTCAAGCTCAAGCTGATGCTCTGGGTTTTCTCAACACTCATTCTCTTCGCACTGTAATAGATCTTGGCCTCAGTAACTGCTTCCTGTTCCCCAGGAGAGGCTTCATGTTCCTCCCTTTAGATCTCCTTAACTAGGAGGCAGCCCCCTGAAGGTGAGGCTGGGTCCCACTCCCATTCTCTTGATACAGGGCTTTGCAGATAAGATGGCTTAATCCTTCTGACCAGCTGACCACCAGCTCTTTTGTAAGGGAGGAGGAGGACACGGTTACAGAGCTGCCCAAGCTTCTTTCACCAAATGATAGGGACCTGGGCGCCCCAAATGTCCCAAGGGTTTAACTTCTCCCTCCCCCAACACCCTTCTCCCCATTTCCCCACCCCTGTTCACCTACATTCAGCAGCTGGTTGGCTTCCTTGCCGGCTTGGTCGGTCCCATCATGAACAGTCTGATGCAACCTGTCCTCCTCCTTCCCAGCCTGGCCAGCAGCATGGTGGACACCTTGGCCAAGTTTCTCCACATCCTTTCCAGCCTGACCAGCAGCGTGGCTGACCCCGTGGCCAAATTTCTCTGCCTCCTTTCCGGCCTGGTTGACCCCATCGTGGACCCCTTGGACTATTTTTTCTCCCTGTTTCCCAGCCTGCCCTGCAGCATGGCTGACCCCCTGACCAAACTTTCCCACCTCCTTTCCAGCCTGATCAACTCCATGATGGACCCCCTGGACTATTTTTTCTCCCTCTTTCCCGGCATGGTGGACCCCCTGGCCAAACCTCCCTGCCTCACTTCCTGCCTGCTTGACCCCATCGTGGACCCCCTGAATCACTTTGTTTGCCTCCTTCTCAACCTGCCTAGTAGCACTGTTGACCCCATGGACAAACTTCTCTGCTCCCTTTCCTGCTTGTCCGGCGACATTGTTGATTCCATGGGTTACCTTGTCCAAGTTGTGGTTGAGCCCCTGGACGCCCTTGTCCAGCTCCTTACCAGCCTGTCTCCCCACACTGTTGAGTCCACTAAAATCTTTCTCCCTTCCAGCTTGAGGGATTCCATTATTGACGCCTTCCAAGGCCTTGCCCACCTCTCTCTCTGTATTGCTCAGCCCTTTGCTGATCCCTTCAGTGACCTTCTTAACGGGGTCAGCACCGGCCGCCCATCCAGGCAAGGGCCCTAACAGCAGCAGGAGGAAGCAGGAGCTGAGCAAACTGGCAAGATACATATTGTTGGGGAAGTGGGGAGGATGCAGAGAGGGGCCAGGGAGGCAAAGCTACTATTTATCCTCTGCATCCTTTCCTCTGCTCCACCCCTCATGACTCAATTACCCTGTGAGGCACTGACTTGATCTCCAGTCAGTGAGGTAATTCCCAGGGAGACTTGGGGTTGAGCAATGAAGAGGGGGAGGAAGAGTGGGTGAGTCATGGATGGAGAAAACTCACATGGCATCTTTGCTCCTTGCCCAGCTCAGGCCCTCCACCCCAGAGCCCAGATGTCTGCCCTTCCAATCACTTCCCCTTTCTATTCCTCACCCACTCTCCAGGCCTCCTTTCTCCCAACAGCACCTTCAGGCACCCTCCATCCCTGGGACCCAGGCCTGGTTCTTCAGCATCTGCACTCCTCTCGGGGGACCTCAGGATCCAGTTTCCCCAGCAGCAAGATTCTGGAAAGGTGGGAGGCACAGTCAGGGGGTGGGGAGCAACCCCGGGGAGTTGAGGGAATCATCAGACCTTGTTCTTGTTGTTTGTTGTTCTTGTTGACCCCCAACGCCCACACTTCTTATGCTCTGGCCACACGGGTCTTCTCCCTGGTCCTCAAACACACCAAGCTCACTCCTGCCTCATGGCCTTTGCACTTGCTGTTGTCTCTGCCTGGAATGCAGAAGTCAGATCTTCACAAGGTGGTTTCCTCCTCACTCTCTTCTTGGCTCAAATGTCACCTTCCCAAAAAGACCCTTCCCTGGCCGTCCCACAGCTATACTCTGTAATATCATCCTTTAGTTTTTATAGCTCCTACCAAAATCTGAAATCATCTTATTTTATTGTCTGTCTCACCTATCATATAGTAAACTTCCAGAGGGCCTTTGTCTGTATTGATCATTGTCACGTCCCCAGCTTCAAGAACCTTGCCTGGGGTTCAGTAAATATTTGAACAAATGGATGGATTAGAAGATGCCGGGGGGAAGAGAGTCCAGGCCTGAGCCTGAGTCTCAGAGGGTGCTGGAGGGAAGGTTGCCTGTATCCCCAGAGCAGCATAAGGTCCCTTGTTGAGGGTTGCAGATTTTGGAGCCAGGATCACATTCTTGTCCTACCTCCCAGCCCTTGGGCAAGGGCAGGGGGCTGACTGCCATGAGCAGGGGCAGGACGCAGTGTCTCCTGAAAAGCCAGTTGAGGCAGTCGTGGGGAGGGGCTGAAGACCCAGGGCAGCAGAAGACTGTCAGCCAGAAGCTGGGCTGAGGGCCAGGAGCTCATCCCTCCTGCCCTCCTCCCCCTGAGGCCTCCTAAGTCCCAACTGAAGCCTCAAGTGTTGACATATTGGCAAGGGTTGGAGAGGGAAACAGCTGAGAGTGTGGCCTAGGTGTGGGGAGGGACATCAGAGGGAAGGGCAGGGGGTGGTTGGTAGGTCTGTCGTTGGTAGGTCTGTAGAGCTAGAGTTCAGAGGAAGCCTGAGACCAGAAGGATAGGGGCCAGTGCGTAGGTACAGTTGGGTGCAGGGGTACAAGATATTTGGGTTTGGGTGCCAAGAGGAGAGCCTGGGAGAGGGGGTGGAGGTGGGATTACTGGTGGGAAGGCCAGGCACAAAGGGATGTGTAGGGTGTGAGCAAGTGGGGTTGGCAGAGTTATATGTGTGGGTGCCCAGGTGTGACGAGAAGCTGCACATGTTTTCAGGCTTTGCTCAAACAAGGGTGACAAGGCCCACTCCCCTTGGAGGACCCAAGGTTCCATCCCAGATCCTGGACACTTGGCTCCAGGCCAGGCCTCCCAGACCCAGAGACCCAGAAGCTTCTGCCATCTCTAGGTTCTGCCTCCAGAGGGTGACTAATTGTGCCACCTCTCCAAGCTTGAGCTCACCAAATCTGTTTCCCAGTTTCACGGTCCAGGGACAAAGTCAAATCTCTGGGCAACCTTAGGTGTGACTTTCCTGCCCTTGTCCAGCACCTGAATGAGGGAGTGTCCCATGCCAGGAGATTGCTGGTGAGCTTCAGAATTCTAATCCGCCCCGAGACTGAGAGGTGGGATTTTTTCCTTCGAAATGTACTCCATGTCTCTTTTCCACCTTTCTCTCTGCCCCACCCTACCATCTTCTGTCAGCCTCCGTCCCTGTCCTCAGTGCTTCATTCCCATTTGCCACTATTTGATTCAGGACTTTGGCATCTATCTCCGTACGTGAGATTAGCCTGGAGTTGTCCTTTCTCTGCTGGTTTTAGTAACGTGGCTGTGCTGTTTCCTAGAGTGAATAGAGGAGGTTTCAGTAGCTGAGCCACCACAGCGCCCACAAAGCACCCCCACAAAGCATGCAATATGCGATGTGCTCATACACAGTGTGCTTGCCGCTCCACGGGGCCTCAGAGCACGTGCCCTACCCACAGCCTCTCAGCACAGGAGCTGCTACTTGGCTTCCCAGCCCTGCTTAAGCTCTGCAGCAGGTCCTGTAGAACGGCAAATATTTGTTCCCCATGCTTCAGCAAATCTTGCCCATAAAATCATCGGGATCTGAATCAGCCTTTGGGAAGATACATCTTAACTCCTTGGTTCTTCTCTTGTTATTGGCCTACTCAGATTTGCCATTTCTTTTTGTACCAGTTTTGATCCCTCATATTTTCTAAGAAAATTTTAATTGCATCTGGCTTTTCATATCTATTCTTGTAAAGCCGTACCAAATTGGTCCCTTTTCAGTCCTGGTTTTATTTGTGTATGCTTTTCCCCCATCTTGATTATACATGTTAAATTTGTCCCCCTTTGTTCTGTTTTTGGGTCTTGGTCCATTGAAATCTCCCCAGTTGTACACTCAATTCATTTTCAGTTCCACCTTTCCCGGGCCATCCAAGCAGGAGGGCTTCACCCTTACTCTGTGCCATGGCAGGTGCTTAACAAACTCAGCTCTCATGGAGGTCTGGGGAAAGAAGAGGTTATGTCATTCTGCCCCTTCTTGCTTCCACACCTCTCTCTGGGATGATAACTCCTTCCTGGCCTAAACCCCACAGCCCCTAAATCTTGGTCACAGCTGTACGCCAACTGGCCCTGCAGGTGAAGGTGCCTGCCTGAGTGTCACAGATATGCAAGCAAGCCCCCACCTCCCATGCTTTGGGGGACGGGAGCCATCTGTCTATTTGTTCTTCCGCTAATGTTTACTGAAAGCCTGATTTGTGTCAGGCACAGTTCTAGGAGCTGGAGGACCAGTGGTGAACAAAACAGAAAAGAGTGGGCCCAACAGGGAGACAATGAACAAGTCAGTCAGTAACTAGATCATGGAAAACTACATGAAAAACCATAAGGAAAAGAACAGAGTGCTGTGAGAGGATAGGACTTGGGGGTTGCTCTAAGATTGGAGACCAGAAGAAACCTCAGGAGGTGACATTTATTCATTCATTCTGGTGCTAGTTATTGAGGGAGTACCTTTCAAGTGCCAAACATTCTTCTAGTCAACAGGTATAAAAGTGAGGAAGGCATGGGCTTCCCTGGTGGTGCAGTGGTTAAGAATCTGCCTGTCAATGCAGGGTACATGGGTTTGAGCCCTGGTCCAGGAAGATCCCACGTGCCGCGGAGCAACTAAGCCCGTGCACCACAACTACTGAAGCCCACGTGCTTAGAGCCTGTGCTCTGCAACAAGCCACCAGAATGAATAGCCCCCGCTCGATGCAACTAGAGAAAGCCCATGTGCAGCAACAAAGACCCAATGCAGCCAAAAGTAAATAAAATGAATAAATTAAAACAATTAATTAAAAGACAAAAACTGATTTTCTAAAAGAAAAATAGTGAGGAAGGCAGACAAGCACTCTCTACTGGGCAGAGACAACTGGCAAGGTAACGAATAAACAGGATGATTTTTAGAGAGACATACGCTGCGTGGAAAACAAAGGGTGTAACCCTAGAGCAGTTTTGCACATTGGAATATTTAACCCAGGATGGGAAGTCAGACAAGGCTTCCCGGACGACGGGCAGACGGAGGGAGTGGGGGTGATGGCAGATAGTGACTGAGAAAGGAGAGAACTTTAGATGTGGAGTTAGGAGGGCCTCTCTTAAAGGGTGGCACCTGAGGCTAACCAAGAGGCAGCCAAGGGAAGACCTGGGTAGGACTTCCAGGCACAAAGAAATAGCTAGGGTAACTCCAGAAGAGGGTCCAGAACGGCATGGAGCCAGTGTGCCCAAGGAGAAGAAAGAAGAAAGAAGACAGCAGAGAAAGGGCTTTGAAGACCAGTGTAAGATGTTGGATCCCATTCTAGACGCCAGGGGTGGGCTTGGAGCGGTGGTACACTGGCCACAGGCCTCGACTGGGAGGGGGCCTTCGCGCCGCCTCCTCTTGTGACGTCACAGGACTGTGACGTCATGGAAAGACGCTCCAGCTCCTCCAGCCCCCGAGCCCCCGTCTCGCAGTAACATCGCGGCGGGTGCCGGTGGCAGCTGGCTGGGCCATGAAACCTTAGGAGGCCATGTCGAAACGCGACGTCACCCTCACCAATGTCACCGTGGTCCAGCTCCTGCGACAGCCGTGCCCAGGTGAGGGAGGCGGGGGAGTGACCCCGGGGAGGGGAGGAAAGGGCGGTCGGGGAGCTCCTGTAGCCGGGTCTGGGTACCTGCGGGCGAGCGGCGCACCAATAGTGTCCACCGGGAGCCGGGCAGGAGGTGCGGGGTGGCCTTGCCTGCCGGGGCCCTTCCATCCGGAGCCGCTGCCCCTGCTCCCTCCAGCCCCACCCTCCTCACCACCGGGTTTGCCGGCAAAGTGGTTTCTACGGCGATGGTGGAGGGGACGAAGACCCCCGCCCCCAGGTTGGGTTTTGCACCAATAGCGCGGTGGAAGGGTAGAAACAGGGGCCAGGAGGGAGGCCGGAGCCGGGTTTACGAGGGGACACCTCTGAGGACAGCCGCTGGTTGCTGAAGTACCTGGGCGAGCGAGGTTTCACATAAAATTGACGCTGCTGCGAAAGAGCCGCTTGGGGATCGGTGGACTTTGTCCTCCCTGGATCGCACAAAGCGAGGACACTTGAGCCCGCCAGGTGCCGAGCACTTTACAGGTGTGCGCTCAGTGAAGCCTCACAACTGCCTTTGAGTTCAGTGTTTAGTGTCCCCATTTTACAGAGCGGCCACCAGATGGAAGAGGACACAAAGCACGTTTCTGGGTCTCAGCACGGGAATAGTGCAGTTGGGACTCAGAGTCCGTGCTCGCCCTACCTCCCCCGGCCAGAGGTGCGCGCACTCGCTCCAGCCAGACGAATCCAGGCCTTCCGGAGGGCCACCCCGTTCGCTCCCGGCCTCCTGCCTGGCCTCGGCGGCCTCAGCACCGCAGGGGTGGGCGTGGCCGACGTAGGGCGGGGCTTGGGCGGGGCTCCAGGGTCCTGGAGACACTGCTAGACGCAGCAGCAGGCAGGTTAACAGCTGTGGGCCTTGAAAACCCTCCCTGCTTATCACTCGCTCAGTGATCTCGGGCCTCGGTTTCCCCTCTGTAAAGTGGGTATATAGCACATACCTCACAGGATTCAGTGAGCTGATGCATGTGAAGAGCTCAGCACCGCACCTAGCCCTTGGTGGCACCCGGGAAATGGGAGCGACGTTGTAATTGGTAGAGGGCACACCCGATCCAGTGTTTCACCTTCCGGATGATGCTTCATCACTGAAGTTCCTGCGGGCTCTTCCTTCCCAGCGCAGCAGCTCTCCTCCAGCCCATGTACCCCACCCTGGAGCAAAGGGAGACGGGAAGGCTGGGGGAAGTTGTGAGAGAAGGACCACCTGGGTTTTCTTTTGAAAGGTCACTCAGTGGGCTCAGATCCCCACCCTTCACCCATATGGACAAATCTCCCCTTTTCATGAGAGCAGAAACAGAACCGCCAGGAAGACAAACATTCTTAAGGTCACCAATAAACACTGACTAATACCTTTATGAACTTGCAGTGCTACTGGAGACACACACAGCCCAGCCTCACGCCACAAGGCCTGTGGCAGCCTGGAGAGACCAGGGAGAGAGACAGGTCGGCTGACCCCCAGCTCCTAACCCCACCCCCTCCAAGGTGCCTTTGATTCTGGTGCCAAGCGCAACTCCTACCTTCATGCTCCAGGCTCTCTCCAACCCCTTCCCTCTCCCTTTCCTCACGAATACACTTCACGTCAGACTTTCTCCCCTCTATTAAAATCAGCACCTACTGGGCCTTGAGATCTCACTGAGTCCTTACAGTAGCCCCCAGGTGGAGGGTCAGATGTGACATCAAGAAACAGGCCGGAGTTCCATTAACTTGCTGAAGACAACTCGGCTGGCAGGTGGCTGAGCCAGAGCTGACACCCAGGCCTGACCCCCGGCTTGAAACTCTCTCCCAGCTATAGGCCCCTGACTGCTGTCTCCACCACGCTTCTCCTCCCTACCTGAAGCCCTCATCTTGTAGCTCAGGTAGCAACAGCTTCAAGCACAGGTGTTCTCAATGCGGCATGGGTGTAGATCTGTGTGTCCGGAGAGGCAGAAGCTGATATGGGTTTCCGTTTGTTTCATCTATTACGATAGACCTGTGTTTCCTAAACTTCTCTGAGGGTAAGAATCACCTTGTTGGAAACAGGATTCCTGGGCCTCAGTGCAAACCCAGACTCAGATTTCCCTAGGAATCAGCCTCCCGGTGACTCTTATCAGAACAGTTTGGGGACCACTGGACTAGACCAATTATCAGGCAAGTTTGGGAAATGATCTTTGAAATACTAACGTACGTGGAATGTTTCCTAGACTCTATCATAAGCACTACACGTATCACTCATTTAATGCTCACAGTGACCCTCTGAGAGAAGTACTATTATCGTCTCCATTTTACAGAAGAGAAAACTGAGGCACAGAGACTATCACCCCCAAGCAATTGTTAAAAATACATGCCCGCTGAGTTAGAATCTCCAGGGAAGAGGCCCTGGCATGGATATTTTAAAACAAGCCCACCCCCTGCTCATTCTGTTGATCAGGTTGGCTTAGGAAGCACTGGGCTATATGGTTGGCCACTCAGGGCCAGGAGCCAGCAGCAGGTTCTGGGTGGCAAAGATGGATCGTTCTGTCGCAGTGATGGTGCGGCTCACTGCCCCTCCCCAACTCCCAACAGTGACCAGAGCACCACCACCCCCGGAGCCCCAGCCAATCAAAGAGCCAGCCCCACCACCTCCGCCTCCTGCACCTAAGAAGGTTTCTGTGGTTCGGGAGCTGACTGTTGGCATCAATGGGTGAGTCGCCCCGGCCCCTGAGCCACTCCTGAAGCTTTAGGGCCCGGCCTCTCCTCAGTAACTAACTGGAGCATTTCTTCATGTCTCAGCAATGCTTTCATTCTGCCCCTCCGGGAAAAACACAGGGATAAGGTAAACAGGGCTCCACCTTCAGAGAGCTCACATTCTGGCAGGAAGTACACTGAAGAGGGCAGTGTTAAGCCGGGGAAACACAGGGAAGGCCGCTGGGAGGCGACACTGGAGTGAGGCCTGAGTGACAAATGTGCAGCAAGCAATGGCTGTGGGGCGTAGGTGGCAGCTCAGTGTAATAAGGACGGGCAGGAATTCAGCGTGGCTGGTGTGGCACAAGCAAGGGAGAAGAGGGAGGGCAGCGGGAAGCTGGCAGGGCCCTGGCGGACCACCGTAAGGAGTCTGGACCTGGCTTTACTGTTTGAGAGTGGTGGAGGTTTCCAGGTCAAGAGAGATAATCTGACCTTTAGTTCTACGAGATCCACCCAGCTACAAGGTTGGGAATAGGGGTACAGGACAGAGGGGCAGAGGAAGCGCAGAAAGCAGTGAACAGGCTGGTGAGGCCATCTGGGCGCGACAACACTGGCCCACACAGGGACGGCTGCCTTCTTCCCCACCCAGTCCCCTCGAGCGGGACTCTCCTCTGTCACCCCCTTCCCCTCGTCCCCTCCTCTGCGTGCTGGCTGAGGATTCTGAGGACAACCCCCTCAGCTTTCGTTCCTGGACAGATTTGGACGCATTGGTCGCCTGGTGCTGCGTGCCTGCATGGAGAAGGGTGTTAAGGTGGTAGCAGTGAACGATCCGTTCATCGACCCAGAATACATGGTGAGCAGCAGACAAAGGGCAGGACTGGGGAGAGTGGGACCAGGGTTGGGAAGGGGTTCAGGGGAGCTCTGTGGAAGGCGCTCAGCTGCCATGTGGAACCGTCACTGAAGTGGGGACTCCCTGGCAATGCTCGCTCCTCGTCCAGGCCAAGACTAGGAGCCATTCTGTCTCCTGCAGGTGTACATGTTTAAGTATGACTCCACCCACGGCCGATACAAGGGGAGCATGGAATACAGGAATGGACGGCTGGTCGTCGGTAACAATGAGATCAGCGTCTTCCAGTGGTAAGGGTGGCTGTCTTAAGCAAGCCTGCAACATACTAATGCAGGGCGTGTAGAGGTGACTAGAAGGGGATTCCAGACTCTCACATGGGGTTCATAATCCCCCAAATTGTGTGTGCACATGCCTCTGGGTACTGGTTTGGAGAGGGGGCCCACTGTACTCAAAATACTTTTTTATTTAACGCACATGTGTGTGTTTTCTCTCAGGCATATCCGCTCAACCTGTCTAAAACTCAACTCTTGATTATCCTTCAACCCTCACATCTATTCATCTCCCTGCCCAGGAAATGGCATCACCATCTAGCCAACTGCTCCCACTCAGTTCCTACATAGGAGCCACAGAGACCTTTTCAAAACATCAACTGGACCCGATTACTCCCCCACTTAAACCCTCCAGTGGCTTCCCATCACCCCACAAATGAAATCGCAGCTGCTGGTGGGGCCTCCCATATAGTTATATGCCCTGCTCCCCAGCCTTCCTTTTTCACCTCAGCGACACTGGCCACCAACCTCCCAGGACCCTGCACCAGCACCTCTTCTTAAAACCCACTTCACATAGCTCTCACTGATACAAATACTCCTTCACTGAAAGATACGTTTAGAATCTGTAAGTCAAAAGCAGTAACACTGGATGTTTAATAAGCTTCAAGCACATTTTCAAAATACCAAAAAAAAATTAAAAATTTATAAAATGGGAAACAGTAAACCTACTTTGTCTTTCTAATGTAAATTACCAGCCACTGCCGGCCCTGTGGCTGCCTCCCATTTCCAATTTCACACACACTTGCACACACACACTCGTGAGCTCTCTCCAGCCCCAGGCAAGATCTGCAGCCTGCCCAGCACTCCTCCCAGCAGGTCCACTCTCAGCCCCGCTGTTTATTTGTGGTCAGGTGGTCAGGGGTGGGTGGAGGCGGGGACTGGAGAGTCAGTGAGAATGGGAGAAGCTGCTTGACCCAAATTTGAAATCATGACAGCAAAAACAATTCCAAATTCCAGCAGAGCAGTCATTACTCAGACATACTGTGTCCTTTCCTTCCTCAGCCTGGGCACCATCGTTGCCGCCACCTGGGGTATTTTCCCAGCGCTGCCCCGTCCCCACACAGCCGCCCCCTCAGTGTGTGCCCCGGCTCAGGTGCCACCTTCCCTGGTGACTGCAGCGCGTCTTCCCCCTTCCCCACTGCTCTCCATCACGCCACTGCGGATATCCTCCAGGCCAGGCCGTCAGCACGAGCTGCGTTGCTTGCGTGTGTACTTTGCCCCGCTCCACCCTTTCCAGTCGGGTGACCCTGGGCAAGGCAATGAACTTCCCCAAGCCTCAGTTTCCTCATGTATCTGATAGGGATGCTGAGCATACCCACCACAGCCATAGCAGGGAGCACGGCCAGAGGCGTGTGGGGAGCACCGGGAAGGGCTCACGCAGCTTCCTGGCAAGGAGGGCCCTGTCGGCCTGTGGCGCCCCTGCTGCTCTGGCACCCGCAGGCGCAGGCCCTGGCCCGGGGTAGACTCAGTGCTTCCTCGAAGAATGAACAGAATCCTCAAAAGAAGCCCCTGGGCAGGAGGGCAGGGCCCATGACAGCCTAGGGGAAGGGGCTGGGGTCTCCAGGGGCACCGAGTCTCTGCCCCACGCCAGCTCAACAACTGCTACAAAGGAATTTGTTGAAGTGCCCTTCCCCCAACTTGGAAGGCAGGAAATGAGGGGGGCATCAGAGAAGAGCTAGTTGGGTCAGATGATGAAGTGTGACCTGACATTGGACCAGGGAGCATGAAGAACCATGTGTGGTGGCCCAGGGAGACGAGAGGAAGCTGCTCATTCATTCATCCCTAGGGCCAGCCTGCCTGTGCTCCCAGGCAGCTCTGCCTCTACTCTTTTCACCTCTGTCCTGGCTCTTCTGAAAAATGCCAGTAATAACAGTACTTACCTCAGGTCATCAGGGTTAAAGGAGTTCAGTACAGGTAAAGCACTCAGCACACAGGCACATGGCAGGTGTTCAGTAAACATGTGTAGAATGGCTAATAAAAAAACCCACACACACATTGACTGAACCCTCTGGAGGGAGCAGACCCAGCCTTGCTGCCATGGAGTGCTCCAGAGGATGAGACAGACACTAACAATCACAAAAGCAAATGCTGCAGCTGTGATAAGAGCTGAGGGAAAAGATTAGTATAGAGTTTACCCAGGCATTGTTTGTTTGCCAAAGCCAAGTAGAAAACAGCAATAGTAGATGTTTAATATATTTCAGACACAAATGTTTGATATCGAGTGGAAAATGTATATTGATAAAACAAGAAACAGAAAATCTCCTTTACCTTTCCAATATAAACCACTAGCCACTGCTAGCCCCAGGGCCGCCTCAAGGCTTCAGACCCCTGGGAGCTGCTCTCTGGATGTGCTGTGTGTTTTCAGGGACTTGCCTGGCCTCTGGCAGCAGGATCCCTGTTGCAGGAGCTGAGTAGTCAAGAGAAGAAGGGCTAGGAGGGCTGTGATGAAGTTGCCAGGGCTGAAGCCAGAAGCAGTAGGGCAGGCCTCACCCTCCCAGGGTCTACATCCTGGGCAGCATATGTAGTAAGGGCCTGACCTGGCTGGGAGTAGTCTAGATGGTCCCCCAGGCGGGGCTTGAGGCCTGAGTCGGGGAGGTGGCGGCTTGTACCCAGGCATAGCAGGTACAGTCGAGAAAAGTGGCCCACTAGGGGGGTTAGCGATGAGAGGCAAGGCCAGCAGGGTCGGACCCATCTGGGGCAGCTAGGGGCGTGTGGGGTGAGGGGAACAGACGGCCAGGCAGGGAGGTGTCTGGTCAGCCTTTCAAATGGTGAAGGCCACGGACTAGGAAGGCGAGAGACTGACTCACGGTGCTACCGCCCCTCCACAGCAAGCAGCCCAAAGAAATCCCCTGGAAGTCTGTCGGGAGCCCCTTTGTGGTGGAGGCCACAGGCATGCACCTGTCCTTAGAGGAAACTACAGTCAGTCGGGGACAGGTGCCCAGGGCCGCCCAGGGGGTGTGGCACTTGAAGCACCTCATGACACCTGTGAGCCTTCCCTAGGCCCACAATGAGGCAGGTGCCCTGCGTGCGGTCATCTGCGCGCCCTCTCCAGATGCACCCATGTTTGTCATGGGGTGAACGAAAAGGACTATAACCCCGGCTCCATGAAGACTGTCAGGCAATGGGCAGCAACGTTCTGAAGTGTGTGCCTGGAGGACAAGCCAGCCTGCGGTGGGGAGGAATCCGACTCCCCCTCCCCACCCCCACCCCCACCCCCACTCGGCCCTGGTGCTCTTTTCACATCAGTCCACTTCTCCTCCCCAAAGTCTTAACAGCCATCTTGTTAATGTTACCCTAAAACCATCTGTTAGAACTGTACGACTTCTGGAGAACATGCTTGGGGAGCTTCCCCCAGCTGCACCTCTGGTGCCTCCTTCGGTCTGACGGCATCCCCGATGCCCCCTCATCCCCAGCCCGACTTTTCACAAAACCAAACCCTGAAAGGAGGTAAGGGTGGAAGGGTGGCTCTGCGACTCACCTCGCAGAGCCTTGCACACCCGGGCCGTTTCAGCAACGCATCCTGCACCACCAACTGCCTGGCCCCCCTCGCCAAGGTCATCCATGAGCGATTCGGGATTGTGGAAGGGCTGATGGTGAGTTGGGGAGAGGGGCTGGGGCAGGAGGCACGGCTGGGGAACTGTACCTCTTCCTCCCGTACTCGCTTAGCGTGTGGGGTTAACAGGGAGAGGCTGGTTTGGGGAGGAGAAGCCCACCAGTGGTGAAGTCCGGACGCTGCCTGCACGTGCCCCTCCTGTGACGGTGGTGGAGGCCCTGCCAGCCTCCACACCTGGGTCACCACCCCGGGCCTGGGAAAAAGAGGCGTGGGAGCTTGGGGGCAAGAAGGCCCCACCTCGGCCCTCTTCTTCCCCAGGACCACAGCCCATTCCCACACTGCCACCCAGAAGCCAGTGGACGGGCCATCGATGAAGGCCTGGCGAGACGGGCGCGGTGCCACCAAAGCATCATGCCGGCCCCTACAGGGGCTGCCAAGGCCGTGGGCAAAGTCATCCAAGACCTCCAAGGGTATGAGGGCATGAAGCTGCAACCAGGGTGGGGGGTGCAGCCCAGGAGGACTGGACTAGCCCCCAGTCCTTGAGGTGTCTACTGAGCGGAAAGCAGAGACAAGGCGGAAATGATGGAGAAGTCCCTGGGTCCTGACTCCCGCCCCGATGTGGGAGTCTCCAGGAAGCTGACTGGAATGGCGTTCCGAGCGCCAACCCCAGTCGTGTCTGTTGTGGACCTGACCTGCCACCTGGCCCAGCCTACCCTGTACTCAGACATCAAGGAGGCCATAACAGCAGCAGCCAAGGGGCCCATGGCTGGCATCCTTGCCTACACTGAGGAAGAGGTAGGGGCTGAGCAGAAGGGACCCTGGGAAGAGCCCTCTGGGAAGGGAACGTGATTTTCCATTTGCCAAGGAGCTTTTTGCAGCGTATCCAGATGGGAACTGCAGGGCTGGGAAGGTCAGCTCTCCCCTACCTCAGGGTCTTTGCACTTGCCGCCCCTTTGGTCTGGAAAGCTTTTTGCTCAGGTGGCCACAGTCTGTCCTCACCTTCCCCAAGTCACTACTTCAACCTCTCATCTCAGAGAGATGTTCTTTTTGTGGCCCTTTTCCTCACCCGAAATGTCATTTCACAGTCACTGTTGGCCCTGCTAGCATGTACACTCCAAGACAGCAGAGACTTTGGCCCTCGTTTTTCACTTCCACAGCTCCAGCCATCTTCCCAGGGCCTGGCACATAGCAGGTGCTCGATATATGCTTAGTGAACAAGACAAGGGCTCCCATTTCTCAGCACTTGCTCGGGGCTGGCCACAGCCAAATGCCTTCCCCGTGAGGAATGGGTATCACATCTCCCTGCTCCCAGTACTGCCAGTTCTGTGCATCTACCTTGGTGCTGTCTCCCTGCTTTAGCTCCTGAAGGTCCACCCTCACACAGCTGCCAGGATCTCTTAAAGAAATCAGATCACATCACCCCCAGAGCTGAAAACCTTCCTGTGGCCTTCCACCACGCTAGGGCCAAACCCCCAGGGCCTCTGTGCTGCAGTTCCTTCCACCTGAGACCCTGCTGAGGGCTGGAGTTGACCAGATCCTCCTAATCATCCAGAGCCAGACTCACTGCCTCCCCTCAGGGAGGGCCTCTCGCTGACACATTCCACGTGCATTTTTCCCCGGAAGAGATGTCTGTTGGTGCAGCATCAGAGGCTGTTTGCAGTCTGTATCCTTTGGCCAGTCCCCTACCTGAAAAGCCCCCATTTGTCTTCCTCATACTCTGTCCCCAGAAGCTGGACAGAGGGGGGCTCCATCAAATACTGTAGATGAATGGATGGACAGTGTGCCCACAAGCCTGAGCTGCTGGAGGTCCCTGCTCTACGACCCACGCTTATCTTTGAAATTCTGATGGCCGGGTCGTGTCCACGGACTTTGTTGGCGATACCCATTTGTCTATCTTTGATGCTAAGGCTGGCATCGCGCTCAACTACAACTTTGTGAAGCTCATTTCCTGGTAAGGGGGAAGAAAGGGGTCAGAGAACGTGAGGGGAGGCTGGGGGTGGTCGGGAGGGATCCCCTGAATCCCCGCCATCCCTCCCTCCCCGGGTACGACAACGAATATGGCTACAGTTACCGAGTGGTGGACCTCCTCCGCTACATGTTCAGCCGAGACAAGTGAAGCAGGCTGGCCCGCCTCAGTTTCCCAGTGCTCCCGGCCGGTACCCGTCTCTCCCGTCCCCGCCCTCGGCCCCCCGGGAGAAAGAGGGCGTCCCGCGCGAGGGGCCCGCGCCGCTGGGCCAACGGCGAAATAAAAACCCAGAGTGCTCACAGCTGCGCCCTGTGTCTCTGCGCCGGTCACAGCGGGGTCGGGTCCGGGATCCAGGCCCACCCCGCACGCGCTCTCTAGGCCCCGCGCCCTGACCCCGAGAGCGGCTCCCGCGGGGTCGGGATCGCGCAGGCACCGTCTCGGCCTCCCGCGTGTCGCCCGAGCACCGCGGCGGAGCCTGGTGACGTTAGCGCACCGCGCCGCGGACTCCGGCTCCCAGAAGGCCGCGCGCGCCGCGGCAGAGGCCGGTGGGCGCCAGGCCCGGGTTCGGGCGCCAGGCAGCCGAGGCAGAGAGGCGCGCTCCGGCGAGCCGGGCGGCAGGCGCCATGACGCTGTTCCACTTCGGGAACTGTTTCGCCCTGGCCTATTTCCCCTACTTCATCACCTACAAGTGCAGCGGCCTGTGAGTGCGGGGCAGCTGCGGGGCGGCCGCGGGGCAGGGGGGCGCGGGCCGGGCCGACCCCTCACCGCCCGGTCCCGCAGGTCCGAGTACAACGCCTTCTGGAAGTGCGTCCAGGCCGGGGTCACCTACCTCTTCGTGCAGTTGTGCAAGGTGAGGGCGCCAGCTGTGCCGCGCGAGGGCTTCGCCCCCTCCCCGCCCACCCCGCCCAGACCTCCCGGGGAGGAGCCGGGCTTGGCTGGGCTGGAATCTGAGGAGAGGTCCGCAAGCAACTTTTGTATAGCACTTTTAGTAGCATTGAGAACATTCAGTTGTATGACTAAGAGGGGTTTGGATACTGCTAAGAGCCTCTAACTAACCCCCAAGGTCCCACCGGCACTGCTACCACTGCCCTGGTGGGTAACCAGCCCCAGCACCTTCAGGCCTGACCCCGATCCCTTGTGATCACCACAGAACCCAGACTTCCAAGCCCCTGCCCTCAATCTCCCCTGCTCCTGCCTTCTTGCCTCCATCTGGTGGTCCCTCTCCTCGTGGGCCCCCAGAACCCCAGTGTACTGCCCTCCACATAACACACTAACTTCCCACCAAACCCACGTGGTTGGTCTCCCTCACCTTGAGGTGACCTCTCTGTTTTCTGGTTGCAGATGCTGTTCCTGGCCACTTTCTTTCCCACCTGGGAAGGCGGCATCTATGACTTCATTGGGGTGAGTGGGGCAAGGGAGGGGGAGGGAGTGCAGGAGTGGGGCCCCCTGGCACCTGTGCTTACTCAAGCCTCAACCTGACCCACAGGAGTTCATGAAGGCCAGCGTGGATGTGGCAGACCTGATAGGCCTAAACCTTGTCATGTCCCGGAATGCCGGCAAGGGGGAATACAAGATCATGGTTGCTGCCCTGGGCTGGGCCACCGCCGAGCTCATTATGTCCCGGTGTGTGCAGCAGCCTGGAGCCCAGATTCCTGAGAAAGGACACCTGGGTTCCAGGGGGGTGCCGGAGGGTGGGGGCTCAGACTCTGGGTGCTGAGGGTATCTGGATACTGGAGAATCCCTCCCTTTGCCTTCTTCAGCTGCATCCCTCTCTGGGTTGGAGCTCGGGGCATTGAGTTTGACTGGAAATACATCCAGATGAGCATTGACTCCAACATCAGTCTGGTACGCAGTCCTGCTTTCCCACACACACGCCTTTTTGCTGGTGACTCTACTCCTCCTGAGGCCTGGCCCTGACTTCCCGCTTCCCTCCAGGTCCATTACATCGTCGCATCTGCCCAGGTGTGGATGATAACACGCTACGACCTGTACCACACTTTCCGGCCAGCAGTCCTCCTACTGATGTTCCTTAGCGTCTACAAGGCCTTCGTCATGGAGTGAGCTGGGTGGGGCTCGAGGATGGGCCCAAATGGGTTGGATTATCTCTTCTCCCTTCTTCATTGTGATGTTTCCCCACAGGACCTTCGTCCACCTGTGTTCCCTGGGCAGCTGGACGGCACTTCTGGCCCGAGCGGTGGTGACGGGGCTGCTGGCCCTCAGCACCCTGGCCCTATATGTCGCTGTTGTCAACGTGCACTCCTAGGCTTGGTGGCCCAGACTTTCACGTACCTTTTCCCTGTCTCCAGGTTTCAGTGAAGTAAAGAGTATTTGGAAAATTGTTTCTGCCTCTTTCTCTCTGTCTGGAACTATCTACCAACAGTGTGCTCTCCTGGGTCCCAGAGGCCCTTGTTTTGGAGCCAGGTAGACAAGCTGGGAGACTAGCCAGCACTCATCTGTCCTGTGTTCCTGGACCAGTTCCTTTGCTTCCTGTCTTCCGCAGGAAGACTGAGGGCTTGAAGCAGACAGTCTTTAAGCAGTGGCAGAGACCAGGGCCCTCAGGGAACAGGTGATAGAGGGGAGCTAGAATCCATGAGATGGTTCTTGGGGGCTTCTCCTCACAGCCTTAACCTGGCCCTCTCCCACATGGCCCTTCCCTGGCTGGTCACCTCCTAGGTTCCCAGCCCCCAAACCAAACCCCCATCCACTTTTTTTTTTTTTTTTTTTGGCACACCACAGAGCTTGTGGGATTTTAGTTCCCTGACCAGGGATCGAACCCCGGGCCCTCAGCAATGGGAGTGTGGAGTCCTAACCACTGGACCGCTGCCAGGAAATTCCCCCCATGCACCTTTTATACGGCAGCCAAGGGGATCTCTCTGAAACCTCAGTCTTACTAGCTCACCCTTCCCTGCTTACAGCCATCTGGGGCTCCTCCTTGCACAGGAGCAGTCCAGTGACTTGACTCTTGGTTTTGCCCTTGAGGGCCTATTTTGTGATTCTGAGATCCTCAGATTAAATCCTGGCCTGAATCTTCTTAGGGTGGAGTAGAGACAGCTGCAGCCCAGTAGTAGAGCTGCTGAGCCCACCAATTTGGATGTTGTCCTGAATGCCACCCTTCTCATCCCAGCCCTTCCCTGGTCTAGTAGGGCCAGCTTCCTGCCCCTTTCTCTCCCCATCCCTGGGGGGGATGGATTAGAAGCAGGGCTTTGAATGTCATGCTTAAGCTCCACCTGGAGGCAAGTCCTGCCCACCTGGGAAGATGCTCCCCAGTCCTGGTGTTCCCAGTGGGATCCCCCAGGGCATGGGATAGGGCAAGTGCCCCCTCCCTCCCTCCACAAGGCTGTCCAGGTCCTGTGATAATGTTATTTGACCCTGGGCCTAGGAAGGCACCAAGCACAGCTCTGTTCAGCTCTGCTGTGAGTCTTGGTGTTTTCAGAGGGAGCATTGACCCTAAGGTGGGGCAACCACCATCTAGCCCCACCTCCTCCTCATCGCTCCTAGTCAAGACAGGGTCCACAGGGGTCTTGGGTGGGGAGGTGAGAGGTCACCCTCAGTTTGATATGAAAAGGGAGTAGATGGGGCGCTCCCCCAGCCCACGTGGGTGGATATGTAGTGGCATTGCTTTCTCCCATACCGCCATCCTATGCCCCACCTAGCCTTTTGCACATATTGGGACAGTGAAGTTTGCAGAAATGACTGTTAAACAACTATTTGCTGAGCAGGCACTCTGATCCAGGCCCCTTACTGGTGGCCACCTGTCTGTGAAATAGTCCCAGCTTTCATGGGGCTCAGGGACAATCAGGGAGCACAGGCCAGAGGGATCAGGGCTGTGCTGGGTGAAGCCTGGTGGGAGTGGTGGGCCTGATTAGCTAGACTACAGTGATCAGGGCTGTGATGGGAAAACAGGGCTGTGTCTGTCCTGGAGGAGAGGATGTGTGAGCTGAGACCAAGAGGATGTTAGTGGAGCAAAGAGAAGAAAGCAGGTACCAAGGCCCGTGTAAAGGCCTTGAAGTCAGAGAGAGGGCCTGGCCTTTCCAGTGAAACTAGAGCCGGTAGGAATGAGTTCGGGGGCCGGGAGCTTGTGAGACTGCAGAAGTCGGCAGGGGCCGGATCACAGAAGGCTGTGAGCCTGGGCAGTGGGGAGCCACGGAGAGTTCTAGGCAGGCGAAGGACGGTCAGTTTTGGCTTTAGGAAGAGCTCATGGCTGCTGCGTGGATGGGGAGACTCAAGGCAGAAGGCCGGCCTGGACCAGGGCAGGGCCGGCAGGGGTAGGAGGAGTGGCTAGAAGCAGAGTAGACAGGCGGTGACCAGCTTATTTGGCCAGGTGAGGGGGGAGTAGGGAGACGACCAGTGAGAAAGGAAAGAGTGAAGGAGTCCAGGGTAACACAAGTTTGGGGTTTGTAAGCTCCCCGAGGGCTCATTACATTTCCCAGGGAGAAGGAGCTACAATGATGGGACAGTGGGTGGGATCAGGTCTGGAGGATGATGCAGAGGCCAGTGCGGGTCCCCTTGAACACGCTGGGGGCAGGCTGGAGACAGATGTGGGCACCACTGCAGACAGAACTGAGGCCAGTGGGGGGGGGGGTACTGTGCCGATGAGGAAGGAGAAGCCTGGGGTCCAGCCAGAGAGACTCGTCAAAGAAAGGGGAAGAGAGGCAAGAAAGGGGACTGGGAAAAGCAGTGGCAAAGGTGGGTGGGTGGGCGGGTGCTGTGGACAGGGGAGTCTCCAACAGGGGAGTTGGAGGGCTAACTTCAGGTGAGGGGTGTGAGGAGGGGACCTGTGATGTGGCCTCCAGGAGTTGGTTGGGACTAACCAGTGATAGGGCGCCCATTGCAGCTGCAAAGGCATAAGTGGAATTAGGAAACTCCTGTGAAGCAGGGAGGGGATGCTTGAGGTGGAAAGGATTCTGACCAGAGAGGGAGAGTGGGTGCTGAGAAAGGAGAGCCCAGAGGTGGTGTTCAGCTAGTGGGGCGGTTAAAGGCACCTCTCTGGAGAGGGCCCGTGGCCACCTCCAGCTCGCCTAGAAATGCTGTAACCTAGGCAGAGAGATGGGAATTCACTCCCCCAAGCAGCATTTACTGAGTACCTACCATGTGCCAGGCTGTGTTCTAGAAACTGGAGATACAGCCGGGAACAAATAGCCCCTAAGTTG